GGCTGCAACTGGGGCAGCTGCTTCCCAGCTCCTTCCTGGGTTAAAGTTATTCAGACCTTCCTGGTTAGCTTTGTTGATATGCAAAATAACCATCTTTGCATATGAACTAGGAAACTATCCTCTTGTTATTGACATGCAAAATGACTCTCAATGGCCTTGCTCCCTGTCTCCCATCCCCCTTGGCAGCCCGCCTGGTTTGAATATTCTATATTTTTCTTGGACACCCCAATTTCTTGATCCCATTACAAATCCCCTTCGGGAGGCCCTGGCTGTGTGCTGTTACAGGTTCAGCACTACCCACAGTTTCAGGCATCCTCTGGGGGTCTTGGATCGCACCCCCTAAAGATATGGGGGGATTGCTATATTTGGTCTTAGTCCCAGTTCCTACCACAGATTTCCTAAAACCCTTGGAATTTTTAAAGAGATTGACATAGATGTCTCTTGTTATGTTAATTCGGTGATTTTTGGAAAGCTCGTAGGTCAGGGGTCCTCAACCCCCTATGTGGCATTCCGCACACTCCACTGTCTTAGCTCCACCTTCCCTCTGATCAGCAGCTGCATTAGATTCTCATAGGAGCTCAAACCCTACTGTGAACTGCGTGTGCAAGGGACCTTGGTTGCTCACTCCTTATGAGGCTCTAATGCCTCATGATCTGAGGTGGAGCTGAGGTGGTGATGCTACTGCTGGGGAGCAGCTGCAAACATCATTAGCAGAGTGGTATGACTGCACAGAGACCATAATATATCAGTTGCTTGCACACTCATATCAAAACCCTATCAGTGAGTGGCAAGTGACAATAAAGCTGTGTCTGGTGGCAGACTATAAAGCCACACCCTCAAGCCCCAGTCTGTGGAAAAATTGTCTTCCATGAAACTGGTCTTTTGTGCCAAGAAGTTTGGGGACTGCTGCCTTAGGTTCCCAACCTAATGATGGGGACCTGGTTGTCAGGGGAACCAACCAGCGATTAGAGAGTTGGAAGTTTTAGTCCCACCCGCAGACCTCTGGGGAGAGGAAAGTGGCTGTAGATTGAGTTTGAGTACCAGTGTCCAATGATTTAAGTAATCATGCCTATGAAATGAAGCATCACACCCAAAAGGAATAGGTTCAGAGCTTCCAGGTTGGTGAATACGTGCAGGTGCTTGATGAATGGTGTGCCCAGAGGGTGCAGAAGCTCTGCAACCTTCCACATACCTTGCCCCGTGCTCCTCTTTCATCTGGCTCTTCCTGAGTTACTGCCTCTTAAAATAAACTGGTGATTTAATGAGTAATATGCTTTCCTGAGTTCCATGAGCAAATTAATTGAACCGAGGAAAAACTCAGGGGAACCTCCATCCACAAAACGCTGCGCGCATAACACCCCTCCCAAAAAAGACTATTGCTTGATGTTGGGAAAAAAACACACACACACTGGACATACTATCAGACACTCCTACTCAATACCCCCCCGACCCGCACGGGCCCCAACCCCATCTGCCTCTCCAACCCTACTATCCTCTCAGGAAAGGGGGAAGCTTCTCTTCTCACCTGCCCCCCCTGCAGCCAGCCACTGGGGCCAGCCGTACCCCCACTCTCTGTCCCAGAAGAGTGAGACCCAAGGAGTTCATTGAGCACCTCTTTTCCATTTAGGAATCTGGCCCCAAACATCAGCTGATAATCTCTTGGGCCAAAACACCCACACAAGAAAGAGTCCTCTGGAATTAATTTCTCCTCCTTCGGCCAAGCCCCCCGCTTTGGTTCAGTTCCACCTCTGCTCTGAGGCAGGCAGCACTGGGGCTCCTTTGAGCTCAGCTCCCACCATTCCTTATCCTAATGTCCATTCCTGCACCCCGAGCCCCACAGGATGCCGAGCCCCCAGCCGACTTAGTTCAGTAGGAGTTTGGCCTGGGAGGAGGGAAAGTGGGGAGCCTGAGATGCCCTCTGAGTGTCTGAGGGGTGTGGTCGGGTATCTTTGTTTCAGAGACAGGAGAGCAAAATCAGGACTTGGGGCAAGCAGAGAGCAAGAGTGAATCGTGTGATGCCAACTCGTTCTATAGAAGGACCTTGGAGATTGGCAAGGTGAGGGGGCAGGGCCAGAGACAAAGTGGGGAGAGCCTCAGGCTCTCACTTACCTGCTGTTACAGACTCCTGGGTGGGACTCTTTGATCCCATCTAGTTTCCCATTCCATTCCCAGATGTGAACTTTTCCTTTCGGGAGAATTTTCCTACCGCATGCTACCATTTCTTCCCCTTGAGCATCATGGTCCTAGTCCTTTTCTCTCCTTCTCCCCAGAAGCCTTTGCTTCATGCTAATGATGTTCTGTGAGCAATGTGTAGACTCAACCCGTGCCTCAGGGAGATGTCACGGAGCCTGTGAGCCCCAGCCTCCTCTCTCCGTGCTCTGCCTCTGCAGCCACTGGCCTCTGAGCCCCATGTCACATCTGAGGTCAGTGCGTTCTCCGAAGCATGGTGCGGGGGCGAGAGCGCTGCCCTGAGGGCCAGGAGCCCTGGGCTCCCCTGGCTCCGTTACCAACCAGCCCGAAGGCCCCGGCTGTGTCCCTCTCCTCGGCTGGTTTTAATACACGCCCCCCTAAAATGCAGGCTCGCGCTACAGTTTCTCTGTGGTCCCAGGGAGCCCTAGCATTGTAATTCTGAGCTTGTAACTGCAGTGCCTCCCACCTGGGCGGCTGATTCCTCAGTCAAAGGCAAGCATGTGCAGCAGTGTAGGCACCGCTGGGGGTTCATCCTGCTTCCCCGGGGCGCCAGCGGGCCTAGGCCTCTGTGACAGGTTAGGCTGTGGATTGCAAACAAGCAAGCTCACGGAATATCTGACCTTTGCACAAATTTTCTTTTAGGCTACCTTGTAAAAAGGAGACTTTTTAGCATTAAAAAAAATCTACATTTCCTACTTCACTGAAATAAAAAACTACAAAGTGGAGTCACATAGGGTAGCTCTCTTGAGTGGCCACCATTCCACTTTTATGTGACTTGCCTGGTCTAGGAAGCAGAAATGGCAGGACAACCTGAGTGTGTCCTTGAGGAACTACACTGCAAGGGGCTTCCCAGAGGCCCATCCGCTAGAGAGCTGAGGGCCAGGTGAGAGCCCTGTGGTCCTTCCACATCCAGTGCCACTGTCCCTGCAGTTTCAGGAGCGGACGCAGATCCCAGCTGGGAGGGCAGGCCTGAGGTCTCCCGAGCTTTTGCCGTCCTGGCTCCTGAGAAGCCCGGGAGCTCCTCCGTGGATCAGGGCTGTGGGCGGGCATCTGCCACAGTGGGGCTCGGTGTGAGCTCTGCAATTGCTTTTGTGGCCCCTCCAGGTCTGGCCTCTGGCACCCAGAAGTCTGCCTTGAGAAGAGAGTCACTGACAGGGTTGCAATCAGCCCCCCTGGAGCTTGAGGAGTTGGCAGAGAGGGAGGAGGAGGGAAGGAAGCAGAGAAGGACTGGCTGAGGTTCCTCTGGCTCTACCCTGTAGGTAGAAGAGGTTGTGGAGCTCATCCTGGGATGGCTCAAATTGCAGTTGGAGCAGTCATAAATTGTGGTGTGGCTTAATTGAGTGGAAAAATACACAGGGTTCTCCGGGTTAACGAATTCTTTTGGAGGTCTGTTAGAGCCCAAAGGTGTAACTAGGCATCTCCTAGCACCTGGTAGCCAAATAAAATAATTATAGGTCAAGCAGCTGGAGAAAGTAGGCAGCCTCCTGAATGTTGGCTGGGCAAAAGCAAACATAAACCAACAGTAAATACCCCAACGATATGAAAACCTTGCTGACTCTGAGTACAATGAGGATCTTTTTGCAGGTGGACATGTGTCAGATGCCATACAGAGTGCCTGAGAAGAGCAGGGTATCGGGGAAAGAGCACTGCACGGGGAATCAAAGACCTGGGTTCTTGTTCTGGTCCTGCCGCAACTGGCTGTGAGGCACTGGGTGAGTTACCTCCCCTCTCTGGCCTAGGCACGGTCACTTGTACACCGCAGGGGCTAGATTAGACCATCTCCGAGGGCCCTCCCAGCCCGAAACTTTGAATCCAATACAATTTCCTTGGCAGTTCAGGAGCTCATCACATAAACAGAGCTGCTGTTTTCCCAAGACGGAGGCTTGCCACAGTTTAATTTCATGATGAAAGTAAAACATGACCAGCAATGTGGTCTGCTCTCAAAGACCTGCCAGGATCAGTGAGAGCAAAACTGTTTTCATAACGCTGGGATGTTATCTGCCTTTGTCACTGTGTTGACACTAATGGTGATAGGCGGGCAGACGTCTGTGCCTGAGCTCCACGCGGGGCCTGGCTGGCCACAGCGGTCCCCACAGTGGGGCTTGCAGAAGAGAAGCCACTTCCACTTAGTGCTCTCCTCGATGAAGCAGTAAACATTAATTTTGTTAAATCTCAACTCCTGAGTACTCTCTGTAAAAGATTCTCTGTCACAAAAAGGGAAGCGCCCACAAAGCCCTTCAGTTGCATATAAAGTAAGGGGTGGTCTTGGGGGAAAGCTCTTGGGCGGCTGTGTGAGCTGCAGGCGGTGCTGCCACTTTTCACAGGGAGCATCATTCTTACTTGAAAGAACAATTTACGGCCCTTGATGATGTAGACCTTGGTATCTGGCAGCCACCTTTTTCAAAAATAAACGAGCCAGTCACTTCAACAAAAACGAATACAAGTATTATTTGCCAGTGACAAAATTTGAGCTTCAAAAGGAAATTTGAATTTTGGAAAATTTGCATCTGCCTTTGGGACCTTGATAGCTTTCCAGCACTTCATTTTTTCCTAATAAAATAAATAGTAACAAATGTATTTTCTTTCATATTGTATAATGAGTTGTGTCAACATTTAAAAGAGCTGCATAAACATTTTCCAAGTAATGTTTATGTTACAAAAGGGTAAAAGATCCATTCAACGTTTAAGATAAACATATATTTTAATATCACAGAATAGGAAAACTTCATGAATAGGTTTCAGATTCCATGTTACAACTAACCTTTAAGAAACCACTTTTTTTTTTTTTTTTTTTTTTTGTAGTGGGAAAATGGAGACAATTGTATTTGAATAGTGAAAAAAAGAAAAGCACTTTTCAAATTAAAAAAAAACCTTTTTTGTCGTTTCATTGTAGTATCAAAGAAAACTGCACATTTTTAAAAGCTATTTTTCCCTTTTCAAACTACATACCTGGGTAAGGCTGTACTTCACATACTTCAATCAAAACAACACATTGCAACAGACTATAGAAGCAAAAATAAAAATTGAACTGTCTTCTATTTAGACATTGAAAAGACTTGAAGAAATGTAAAACAGTGGTTTTCAACAGTGTGATGTTGTCCTCATCCACCCCTTAGGCGCCAGGGAATTTTTTGGTTGTCCTAACTGGGAGCAGGGAGTGCCACCAACAGCCAGTGGGCAGAGGCCAGAGATGCTGCGAAACATCTGCCCCTCCAGGACAGCCCATGACAAAGAGCTCCCTGGTCCAAGCTTTCGGTAGTGCCAAGGCTGAGAAACCCTGATACTGAATAATGCCACTCATACTAAGTTTTTTGCTTCAAAAGTATTGGTGTTAACATGTAACGGGCTTGTTATTTTTAAGTGACTTTATAGTTTTCTAATTTGTTTGAATTTATAATTTAGTTACTATTAATAGATGTAACCCACATAAACAAAAGCTTTTTTGGTGTCTTCAATGACTGATGAGATAATAAAGGATTTCTGAGACTAAAAAGTAAGAACTCCTGATACAGGTAATACAGTGTTATAGTTTACAAAATTAGTTTGTTGAGCAGCCCTACACCTCAGCCACTCTAAAGAAAATTATTCATTGCAGGGCTGCCCACGGACATGTAGTGTCTTTTCAAGGAAGGGAGGTATTTAGAGTGAGGCAAGTAAAAAGGTCAGAGTGCTGAGTAAGAAACAGCAGTTTTAGCCTCTTGTGTGTCAGGTTTTCTGATCACTGCTAGGAATGCCGCTATGAGTAAAATGCGGTCATTACTCCCCAAAAGCTTACTGTCTCCAAGGGGAGACACAGTAACTGAAATTTTAATTGAAATATGGGTGGGAAGAGAAATACATGCATGCAGTGTGTGAGACCAGTGGGGATGAGCCTTAGGTTAGGGTTGGGGGTGAGGGCGGTTGAGACCAGCAGGGCTCCCTGGAGGGACACCTGAGTTGAGTTTTGACAGTAGGAATTTGGTTACTAGCGTGGGAGGGACACCGCAGGAGAAGGTGGTGTTCCAGGTGGTGGGAAAAGCATAATCAAAGGCACAGAAATGAGATAGCACGGTAGATTAGAAAAAATACGAAAGGGTATAGCCAAATGCAGGTTTCCTGTGTTGCTTATTTTAAATGCAGTATTATGTATTGCAAACTTCTAAGCATTGCTTTTCTTGGCAATACAGAACTACCTTTCTTTAGTACGTTGGTTCCTCAGTACCTCCTCTTGCACTTTTAAATGCTGAGTGATCAGCAGAATGCAAGGACTCTCTAAAACCTCAATGTAATTTTAGACTGTATCTATTATTTTAAAAACTTCATTATGCAATATTTTACAAGCATCATTGTACAATCGATTGTCTAAAATGACAATAGTCAAGCCTTTCTCATTTTGCCGATGCAGGGAGGCAGGAGCACTATTTAAGTACTTCATCTTGGCTCACCATTGTACCGAGAGTACACCAGGATCGTTCCAGTGACAGTGTTCTTACAGAGTAACAGCATCTGGAAAGCTTAGTTCTTGCTCTGACAATGCTGGGCTCCCAATATCTTACACTGAAAACTACGTACGTCCGCTTTTGAAATGTTTATAAATACCCGGCTTTCTGAGTTGTTACAGCAAACTCTCCTTTATGAAGACCCCACAGTTAGACAGTGAGGGCGAAAGGTAGTTTCAGCACCTAGGTTCTGTGCTCTCAGGCTTCAAAAAGTCCATTCCCCTGTGACATGTGCTTAATTTAAAATAAAGAAATTAATTACGTCCAAGAAGAGTCTTTGTCTCCACTATTAAAATGAATTTTGAAACTGTTAACAGTTGATTACTAAATTGAAAAATTTCATGGTAATGCTTCATTGGAAGCTCTGCTCCCTTATTTTTCAAACATTTTATTTCATCTGAACTGTATGTGGCACCAAAAATATTGAGTGCTTGAACCTGTCATTCAAATAGAAGATTCTTCCAGTTATTCAGGCCACCCTTCCTTCACAGGCAATAACAAATCATATTATATCGAGTACATACAGAAAAATTTCCTTTATATGAAAAATATTTGGACATTTTATATCTAGTATAGAACAGCAATCCAGTTTATGCTGACAAATTCAGTGAATTGTTAGGAAGTATATTTATTACATATACAAAATAACTCGATAGATCTTTTAACCTTTGACTGAGAAGAAAATGTCCGACTTAACTGTTTTCTTGTATTTTTTTAAGAAGATACTCCATCTGTAAATTTAAGTTTGGCTGGCCCTTTTTAGTTTTTTTGCTCAGTATTTTAAACACTTCCATTTTCTTCTTTTTGTAGCGTCTTTGAGCTTCTTCTCTCTCTTGCTTTCTCCTCTCAAGTTCCTGAAATTATCAACATACATAATTTTCATTAGTAACAAACAGTAGATACAGTCCAGAAATTGCAATGAAACAGGTATTACCATGCAAGCACTTTAGGTTTGTCCCTTTTATTTTCAAAATATTGTGTTACTCATTACAAAAGGTAGTGTACTTTTGCATTTGCACTATAATACATGCTATAACATAAAGTTATTAAACAATTTTAATTATCTGTATGCAAATAAAGTTAGAGCACAGGAGAAGACATTTTTATGAAATGACTTCATCATTTAATTAGACCCAATGAGGAATTAAAATGGACTTTAGAGTTTTTCTAGTCCATGTAAGACTAAAATCTTCATTTCTAGAATATTTGGTATTCTTTTTATTTTGCCATATGACAGATTTCATTAAGGAAAAACCTTTGGCTACATACCATATATGTGCAAAACACTGCACTAGCCATTATGATTTTTAACCATTTAAGAATTAACATGCTCATTTCATGTGCTAGGACAAAGACTCAAGTTCATTTGAGTCTAAAGAAAAATATGTCAAAGCTATATAGTGTACAGACCTAAGAAACACTACTTGAAATGCACGGTAATATTTTTATTAAGTCAAATACAAAGTTAAGTAAAAGTTTTTAAAACTGCATTATGTGCACTGTTTTTCAATTTCCCCTGTAACACATACAGCCCCAAAATGACATAGCCTTAAATTTTTTGGTGACTTGTAATTAACCAAATGTACTTTCATATACATCACAGTACATTTTATTCTTTAAAATTTTTATGCTAGCTTTTTATCATCTTACAGACAAGGAGGCAACGCTCAATGACATGGGAAGTGATTTGCCCAAGAACCCAAATAACTGGTACAGCTACATCTCATATCCAGATCTTGTGAATTCAAAGTCTGAGCAATTTGCTACGCCATTATTGCTTAAACTTATGTTCTCAATATGGTATGATACCTCATTTATTTTAATAAGCACACAAAGGTCTGGAACTTATTTGTGAATTTAGGTATCTGGAGTGTAGTTTATACTTATGGAGTTTCACTAAACAAAGTAAAAAAAAAAAGTAAGTAGTCTTACTATCTATTATGGGTCCTTGTTTAATTTTCTTAATTTTGATTTCTCATGCTGGTTATTAACATTTGAAATCTAAGAGGCTGTCAATTTTCATAATTACAAAGTCCTAGCATTTAACTATGTAAAGGAAATTTCAGAACATTAAACTTTTTCCAGTATAACGGTCCTTACTGTACTTCAGCTGGTATACTATATTTCCAAAGGTGGCAGATTATCAGATGATCGATTAGAAAGAAGCTATGAAACAAAGGTCCACTATTTCAATGGAGAAATGTTTCTGCTTCACCTTAACGTGCCACCAATTTAAGAATGATCATGAAAATTCTGGATGTAAAATTTCCAGAAATTTGCAGATTTCTTAATTACACAAATTCTAAAGCTAAAACAAAAAACAAACAAAAAACACTATGTGCCATCTTTGGGGAATTTAAAGTGATAAATTTTTGAAGCTATACATAATTTTGTTTTCTTCATTTGAAAAGTCTTTTAATTTTGGGTTTCTTAATGATTATAGATAGTAGTAACTTTTTGCTAAGTTAATTTAGTAGGCTTTTTAATTGGCAAGACCAACTCTTTATAGTAAAAAAAACATTTACTTTCCCTCTAGCTTTTACTTGCTTCAATGTAAAATTATGAAAGTCATCTATATTTTTCTTATGTCAGTGTTTCTCAAGTTGTATTATACATAACAATTTCTTGAGTTTCTTGTTAAAAATGCAAGTTCCTGGAACAAACTCTTAGTAAACATTATCCCAGAAGCTCATATGATTAGCCTATAAGCAATATCTTTAAAATCCTATTCTTGACCACCTCTCTAGGGTAATATAAATAATCAAGGAATTTGAATATGTTGAAATTCTCCAATTCTGCTCATGCCATTCACTTACTAAACAAACATTTACAGGGGCATACTATGTGCCCCAAACTAAGAAACAGTTTCTAAATACATTGCATAAATAGGAAAAATGAATCTAAATTTTTTAAAGGTCTTACTTGTTTTTTAGCAGCACGCTTAGCTTGTATCTGTTCATATTCTTCTTGTGCTTTTTGATTTGATGTTTTCTTTTTATTTTTCTTTGGAATTGCAACGAAGCTTTGTAAGATAAAGAAATAAGTAACAAATATTAAAAACAACATAACTAAAATTATGACAAGTTTGTCAACTATAGTACTGTATAGTAAAAATCTAACTAATGCAAATTAATAGAGGGGAAGAGAGAATAGGAAAGAAAGAGGACCTTAATTTCATTAATAAAATATAAAGATAACATTATTAAAAATATAGTTACAGCTTTCAAGATAGATTACAAGGTGGTAAGTGGAGACTCTTGGAGAAGTATTTCAATCAAGGAAAATACAGAAAGATATGAAAGATCCTGGAATGTTAAAAACATTTTTTTAAAACAAAAACCAGGAAACCAGCATATGAATGGCAGGAATGACAGCCTAAAGAAAGCATTAAATTGAAGGACATAATGGAAATTGTGGGAATACGTGAATTTTATCCCAACGTTCTTTGACCACTTAACCTCTACTCTACTTCATCTGTTTAGTCATGTGACCACACCTCCACTGAGAACTGTCCTATCTTGAAGTACTTCTCATCTCTCTGAAGGGTGCCACCCCGCCACTGTTAATTCAGCCACTTAGGCCCAGACTCCATGTCCTCAGGCTATCTGATTCATTAATAATCTTCATTTTTCCTGTCTCTCAACTTTTCACTACACGAACTCCATAAACACAGTATAAAATATTTCAGCAGCTACCTTCTTAAAGTAAACAAATACATAAATTACCCATCGCCAAATTCTAGATCCTTTCTACCAATCTCTCATTCCCCATCCTTTCATAGTTAAGTACCTAGAAAGAAGAGTGAATAGACTAAGATAGTCACTCCACATTCACTTCCTAACTCTGCAATCTGATTTCTGCTCTCACATTGCAATCAAACCACCCATGCCAAAACAGTAATGACCTTCTAGCCGAATATGATCATCACCTCAACGGGCACTTTTCAGTCTCATTTAATTGACCATTCACTACTTTTGAAAATTCCATTCCCTTAGTTTTGGTGACATTCTATGCTCCTGATCCAACTGCCCCATCTCAGTGTGCCACGCTAGAGCCTCTTTCTCTTTTAACTCCAGGTTTTCCCCCACCTGTTTTTTGCTTTGGTCTCCACATTCTTCTTGGATAGTCATATCCATGACCATGGCTTTGGACGCTACATATAAAGGTACAGCTTCATCAGAGTTATCTACTGAAAATCTTCTCTCCACGGTCACTAATGACTGTTTACACCACACATACAAAGACCTGTTCTCAGTCCTGTTTTTCTTGGACTTTTTTAAGTATTTGAGAGTTGACTAATCCCCTACATTGCATTTTCCTATACTGACATGGCTGTCATTGCATTTCCCTCTTTTTCCAATTAAGGCAGTTCTAATGAACTTAAATGATAACTTTTCCCCACTTTCACTTTGAAATAAATCTTAAAAAATATTATTTTTACCTAAGAAGATCAGAATCTTATGCCATAATTAAACCCTCCTCACTTCAATTAACACCAGAAATGATTCATTCTTACATTTCTAATGCTAATTTTTTGCCTGAGTTTTACATCCATCATTCAACAATATGATGGACAAACCTACATAAAAACTGAATTTTTAGTGTCTCTGTCTTCATTCCCAACTACACTCTTTCCTGGGGTCCCAGTTCCTATTATGTTTAGCACAAATAACTCACCATTTTAAAGGACAGAATTTTAGTGAAGTAAACAGTTACGGTCCCACCCTGGCTAGGTAGCTCGGTTGGTTAGAGTGTCATCCCAATACATCAAGGTTGTCGGTTTGATCTCTGATCAGGGCACATACAAGCAGCAACCAACAAATGCAGAAATAAGTGGAACAACAAATTAAGTCTGTCTCTCTCCCCTCTTTCCTCTCTCTAAAATCAATAAGTAATAATTTAAAAAAAAAAAAAAAGTTATGGTCCCAAGTAATACCTGGGTCCTCTGCAAGTTTGGATTGTAGCATTTTTTTTTTTAAACTTGGGATAAAAGCCGAGAAAGCTTTATAAGCTAGCACTTATACAACCTGAAGTATTATGGAGTTATGCCACTTCTTTTTAAATGAGACTAAGTCAACATCCTTTGGGGGAAAAGATAATCTGGACTGCTAACGGCAGTGGCAACAGTAGTGGCTAGCACTCCCGTAGCACTTCTAGCACTTCCCATGTACCATATACTTTCTAAAGTACCTTAAAACAAAACTCATCTAGTCTTCACAGTGTCATGATAGGTCAGGGACACCAGAGTCTGAATAATTCCCTCTGGTGAGGTACAACATGGCAACTCTGAATTAAATACTCATTATTATCATTTCCATTTTAAAGAAGAGGACAGTGGGCACCAACATCTTAAGTCCAGCTCTAGAGTCCATCCATCCATGTTGTTAACCACCACACTATACCGCTCAAAAATTAGTTTTTTTAAAAACATATATTAACAGCAGGCATTAACCACAGTTCCAGTAAGTTAAATGTTCTTGAGGCTGAAATCTAAAACCCAGATATTTTAATTCCCATTCTATTACTTCTTCAATTAAGCTAACCTCGCCTTATTCTATCGTTTAACATAAAAAGAAAGCCTCCATGAAAAAATTTTCACCCAATTACACTATGACTTCTAAAATTTCTCAAATAATAATTCTAATTTCTACATAAATTGTCCTATAATTTTTCATAAACACTACTTACATTTAAAACAAAGGATTTCAAAAGAAGACAATACATACTTTACCCTTTCTTCTTTACACTGTTCTGGCTGTGTCTGGTCAATGCTACAGTGTTCTTCAGATAAAGCCTGGTCACTGTTCCACTGTTCTGCTGGCAAAGCGTGATTAACTTGTTTTGACAAAGGCTGGTTAACTTTTCTAAGTTGCTTCCTGAGTCTTTCCTCTTCAGCTAAATAGAGATGTTTCAGATGATCAGGGTATCGATCTCTGAATTGGGAATCCTGTGAAGTCTGGTCCTTCTTTTCCCTCCATAGCAATTTCTTGTAATTTTGCTGAATCTTCAATTTTCTTTGAAATGCAAAGCCTTGTCCTACATTGAAGAATATCAATCATTAATTACCTTTTCAGAAAATAAGTTGCATGAAAAATGTAGCTGTTAATTTTAAGTGGAAAACGTTTTCATCATCACATTCAGATGCTAGAATTACTTGGTTTTGCTTTGAAAAGTTACTGCGAGAAAACAAGTTTAAGCTAATGGAGTGAATAGTAAGTTGGTTTTCTGCAAAAACACCAGGAAACATTAGTCGTGCAGTCACTTCAAGCAAGAATCTCAAGTAAGGTAATATAATTAAGGTGTTGCACAACTCCAGGTTACTGAACTCACAAATGAAAACAAACTCACTAATTCACCTACAAGACTTAATCTAGGTCTTCAATCAATACTTAAGGAAAAAAACACACCTCACAATTATTATTTTATCTTAGAGAAACAACTACTATACGACTTATTTTTAAAAGTAACTCAACCCAAAAGAGAGAAGCTACTGTATGACTGTCAAAACAGCTGACTGAACTTACTTACTATTTATACATTACAAACGGGATCTCACGGAACTTACCAGACAAGACAAAATGACAAACAACCTAAAGCCAAAGAAAGGATGATCAATAAAAGATTGGAGGGCTGTGGGTGATTTGTAATCATCAAGCATAGGGCAGATTTCAGGTCCTATCCTTCTGTCTATCCTTTTCCATAATACATGCACAGATGAACCTGTAAATGCTCTCTGCTTACGGTTTCGTGGACAAATATAGAAGAAGAGTTCTGATCAAGAACGGGGTCAGTCGGGGAAGATGTTTAAAGACACAGCGTTAGCAACACTGCATCGCCCTCCCACTCGGAGCTGAGACACCCACGGACTCAGCTGGCTTAGGACTGACTTCCTCTGCCCCAAGTACGCCCGGATCTGGTTTCTAAATCCTGCTTCCCTGCTTCGGCAGGCCGCGTATTTTAAGACCTCACAGTCCTGAGGACTTGTAAAGACTGCTTGCTTACATACCCTCACGAACGCTTCCCACGAAAGGCTGCCGATGGTTAGGTCGCCATGTCCTCTGTTTGACGTTTTTATTTTTGAATTCGACCGAGGAACCTTCTTCATTCTGCGTCCCATAACTTCCCTTCTTCCACCTTGCTGCGTGCTTCACTGGCGCCATGGCACACTAACAGCGTCGCCCGAAAACCACCAGAGGCGCTGTCAAAATACGTCATCAGGCCGAAGCAATCAGTCGCCCAACTCCAGCGTGGATCAGAGCTCTATTTATCCGGCCTGTGCCACTTTCAGGGGAGCCCTCGCCTCACCACCAGATTTGCGCCACCTACAGCTCGGGAGGGTGAGCGTCATGGCGGCTTCTTGCCCGCTCCCGGTGACCCAGGACTTGTCCACGTTGCATGCCAAGTTGCAGGGGCTGCTGCAGTTCCTGAGGGAAGCCCTGTCCATTTCCAATGCACATACAGTGGATTTCTACACGGAGTCCTTGTGGGAGAAACTGGTCGACTTGCCTCCGGAAACTGTGCTGGAGGTGCTGAAGAGGTCGACCACGGAGGCAGAGGCCCGGCGCTTGGACGCGCGCCCCCTGGTGGAAGCCGAGAGAGAACCAGGTGAATAGCGGGTGGGAGACCGAGAGGTTGTCCGGAGCCCGCCCAGATTGCCCTCTAGCGGAAACGGAGCACAATTGGATGAGCCGCGGGGCGGGTCCCCGAGGCTAGCCTTTGGGGAAAGCCTAGGTGGAGATCAGGTTACCGGAGGGGCGGTGCGGGCACTGTCCCGGGATCCCACTTTCGTTCCTGGATGCTTGTGTATTTTCTCAATTTGAAGAGAACTAGAAACAGGCAGGGGCGTTCAATCACTTAGTAATTCAGCAATCATTTTTGACTGGGAGGAAACAAGAGAAACAGTGTTCTCACAATACTTTATAGATGCCTTGTGGAAACACTGCAGAATGTAAATCAACACTTAAGACATCAAGATAATTTCTAATGATGATAATGGGCCAAGAAGAAAATAAAAGCAGGCAAATATGATAGCAGTTGTGTGAGGAGGCTCCTTAAACTTAGGTGGTCGGGAGCATGAGAAGACGACAGCCCACAGTGAGCCACGGGAAGGGATTTCAGGACCTGGGAACCGAAGAGGCCTTGAGGCTGGAAAGGGCGGAGCTGACTTAGGTTCTGGTAGAGGCTGAAACCACTAGCTGAGCAGCGGCAGGTGCAGAGGTCTGGGAAGTAGGCAGGGGCCAGACGCGCAGGGCTTTTTATCTAGCTTTGGGAGGATATTAGATCTTAGGTGTGATGAGACACTTTGGAGCCATTTAGTCAGTATAATGACCTAACTTACATTTGAAAAGATAACTCCGATAGTTATTTGAAGAATAGACTAGTGGGGCAAAAGCTGAGAGGCTAGTTAGAAGAGATTTTCAGTACTATTGAATACAAGAAAGAGATGGTTATATCCTGGACTAGGATGGTGGCAATGAAGATCCGGAATATATACTAGTTCATTTGAAAATTGTTTATAAAGTATCTACTATGTGCTTTGAATTTTTGTAGGCTGTGGAGTTTCTTAACCTCAAGAAACTTAGATTCGGCCAAGACTCATATATTTTGGAAGTAGAATGTTGAGAGGACACTAACGGGCTCCTGGGTTTTCTCTTACTTTGCTTCCAGGTGCTCCTAACCTTGCCCATGCTATTCATTGATCATTCTCTGAATGCAAAGCACCACTAGGGGAGTCTCCTAAAATAGGACTTGGTAAATACTGGTTTCCTTCGAGTGATAGTTCATTGTTGAAAACTTAGGCACGTCTTCAGTTTGCTCTCCTAATATCCACTGCTTACGATAATATGGCAACTTGAACTCCAAAAGAGCAGAGACCATGTTTGTCCTATAAACAGATGTTTTCCCAGTACTTAGTAAAATAACTGGCATGCATTAAATACTCAATGAATATTTGTTACATGAATGAATTAATGAATGACTCATAGAGCTTCCCCACAAAAGAAACTTTTTTTTTTTTAAATATAAAGCCCAAAACTTTCATGTGGGTTTAACTTTGTCTTCTTGCAATGGAAGAATTAGATTATTTTACATATTCTAATAATAATAATAATAATTGGCTTAATTGATAGTTATTTACTCTGCAGTACACTAAGCGTTTTCTCTTTTAATCTTTACATCAGCCTTGTGAGATGGGTTCTCTTTCTCTCAGGTTATGAAATTGTAACTTGAGGAGTTAATTTGTCAAAGGCACAGCTCTTCATGGAGTTTCAAACTAGGTCACCTGACTCCAGAGTCTGAGCTCTGCCACCATGATAAAAATCTACTCTGAATTACTTAGGAACGGATTCCAATGGTCATGATTATCAAAACTAATATTTTTATGACACTAATACATTCTTTTTTTTTGTTTCATTTTATTTTTATTGTTTCCCCTTCAAGAATGTAAGTATAGTGTTGTTTACTGCTGTATACCTCGTGCCTGGAACAACGCCTGGTCAGAGTAAGTGGTTAGTAAATATTTGGCAAGTAAGTAAATGAATGAATGAATGAATGACACCACTTATTTACGCTAGGAATAAATTTCTAACATCTTTTGGGAAAACATGTCGTTCAATTTTTGATCTATCCAACAAAGATAGAATCTAGGTTTAATTGTTCACCTATGAAATGTCTTTGGTCCTGCAAACTTTTTTATACAAAATATTCAATTTTACAGATGGTCACTTGCCTATACTGCTAAAAAGAATGAATTTTTATAATTTATTTTTGTAAGGAATTTTAATTTTTTTAAGTAAAGATTATTTTAAAGATGTGTATTTTTCTCTATTCCTATATACAGTCTGTTGTTTGTGTCAGAGAAAAGCAGTAGAATCCTTTGACCAGATGTGTATTTTACGTAAGAATTGTTAGCTACTACATGCAGTATAATTTAGCAGTTAAATTGTAGACTTTTGAGTCTGATATGGTTCAAACTCCAGTTCTAACACTTACTAGCCGCTGTGACCTTGTAGAAGTTCATTCATTCAGTAATTACTGAGTGTCTCCTGTGTGCTAGCACTTTTCTGGGAGCTGGGGATATAGCAGTAAACAAAACCAACAAAAATCTCCACCTTTATCTTGCTTGCATTCTAGAGGTCAGAGTTAGACCCCAAAAAAAAAAAAGTGCCAGAAAAATTAAGTAGAAAAGGAAGGAGTAGATAAGGGGACATGCAGGAGAAAAGTATGTTTGCAATTTTATATAGGTTGTTTCAGCAAGACTTCATGGTGATGACTCTGGAAAAAATCTAAAGAAGGTAAAAAATGAATCATGGAGCTATCTGGATGGAAAGCAGTCCAGATAATGAGAACAGGGATCGCAGAGACCCTGAGGTGGGAGCATGCATGAAGACTGGAATGGATTTCCATCAGGGACTCACAAGGAGTATGGTTTTGTATGAGGAGTTACAAGTAAACACAATTCCCAGAGCTGCTACGAGTTAATGCACAGTGGATGGAAGTACACTAACAGATGTTTGGCACAATCATTTGGTGTTTTACGAGACCGAGTTTTTTCTGAAAATCCTCAGTGTAGCCATTTTGATAGATTTCTCTTGCCAAATGATCTTCTGGCCCAGTCGGAGTCCTGAAAGTTTCTTCTCCGTTCAATAAAAGACCTAGCTGAAAAACAAAATCGTGATTCTCCACAATAAAAAAGATGTTGAACATAACTACATTTCAAGGGCATAAAGTATAGGTGTTACAGATTGAATTGTGTCTCCAAATTTCTTATGTTGAAGCTCTAATCCCCAGTGTGACTATTTCTGGAGGTGGGGCCTTTGAGGAGGTAGTTAATGTTTTAATGAGGTCAGTCAGGTGGAGCCCTAATCCAACAGGAAGAGGAAGAGACAGCAGGAGGGCAACATGGAGAAAAACAATGTGAGGGTATTGTGAGAAGGCGGCCATCTCTAAGCCCAGGACAGAGGCTTCGCCAGAAATGAACTCTGGCAGCACCTTGATCTTGGACTTTCAGGTTCCAGAATTGTGAGAAGGAAAATATATTCATTGTTTAAGTCACCTAGCCTGTGGTATGTTGTTATGACAGTCTGAGCAGATGAGTACAATGGGCTTTGCAGACAGACTACCTGCCTGGATTCAAGTCCTGGCTCCCCTACTGACTAGCTTTGTTAACTTGGGCTTTCACTGTTTGGGATAACTCAAGTATCTACTTACTGGAGTACTATGAAAATTAAATGAGTTAATACATAGAAAGAGTTAAGAATATGCCTAAAAAATAGTAGCACTTAATTCATTCATTTATACAACTCATGTTTATTGAGAACCTTCTGCCTACCAGGCCTTGTTCTGGGCCCTACAACTATGGTTTCGAACACAACAAAGTCCCTGCCCACGTGAAGCTGATGTTTACTGAGGGTGGATACATAATAAACTCTGTATGTAATGTTAGGTAGCGTAAATACAATGAAGAAAAGCATGGCACGCAAGGGGTAGCGATGGCGAGCAATGCTATTTTGGATACAGTGATCAGCAAGGGAAAGCTTACCTATCAAGACAACTTGAACAGAGACTTGAAGACAGTGAACAAGCCAGTCATGCAACTATATACGGAAGAACAGGTACCCAACCTTCAGACGCTGGGTTGCTGGGAGCGCGGCAGAGCTGTTCGAGTTAGACTGGTAATAGATACGGTTTGAGAGGTGGCCTGAGGCAACTTCAGGTAGTGCTTGTAGGCCGTACTGAGGGCTTGGCTTTTACTCTGAGTGAAATGTCAAGCTCTCTAAGGATTTTGTGTGATGGTATGTTGTGATTTATGTTTCAAAGAGATGACTCTGACTACTGTGTGGTGAAGAGCCTATTGGAAGATAAGGGAGGAAGCAGAAAGACAAGATAGAAGCTATTAAAATAGTCCACGGAGGCTTCAGGAAATGGCAGCTTGAAGAGGTCAGGCAATTTGTAGCAGATAACTGATCAATTCTGGCCAGGTTCCTTGGGGTGAGCATCTGAGTAATTAATTTACTATATTTTAACTGAACAATACAGAAAGTGTATACCAGTGATTATTATTTTGTGGAGTTTTCTCATAAATTATTTTTATTGCATTTAGTAGAAAAGAAATTAAAAATTTCTTTTTAGCCATCCTATGTAGTTTTTGTTGGTGGTGATGATGGTAGAGACTGGTGCATTGAAATTGTGCTCATATG